GAAAGAAAGAGATCTTCTGCAGCGCAGCTTGAAAGCCCCGTCCCCTTCAGCCTTCTGCAAGCCCTGCCAGAGCTGCCAGGCAGCGCGATGCCAGCAACCTGAGCGACAGCTGGCGATTTTGAATCTTTTGGTGTGAATGCAATTAGTGGTAGAGCAGGCGCCCCATGTACAAGGCTGTTGCCGCAGCGGCCCGGGTTCGACTCCAGCCTGTGGCCCTTTGCTACATGTCACTCCCTCTCTCTCTCCCCCTTTCACGCTTGTCTGTCCTATCCATTAAAGGCTGAAAAGCCCCCCAAAAATATCTTTAATTTCCTGATCTTTTTGGCTTCTTACAACAGAGAAAAACAGTGTCTAGTTGGGGCTCCTTGTCACATGTCAAGGAGTTGTTAGTTTCACCAAAGAGAGATTTCCCTTCAACCTTTCTAACATGGTTTCATTAATAACTGTTATATGTCCAAAGAGCTAAATTTATCCAACATTTCACAAAAAGCACAATGCAAAATGCTCTAATTCTGTGAAAAGAAGTTAAAAGTAGCTCCTAGACCAGCTATACCAGTAAAATGCTGCTTGCACATTAATGCATCAGTAATAACAGTCTAAGTAGTATTTTGAATCAAGCAGTTTTACTTGTAATGGGGTATCTAAAGATTGTTGAACTTGTACTTCAGTGAAGGATCTGATTACCACTGTACTGAATTTGGAGCACAGTTTCAGAAAAGAAATGTGGCTATTAAATGTTTTTTGTTGTTTTTTTCAACCAAGCCAGCTTCACAAGGAATTGGTTCCCAGTTTGGTGTAGAAGAACTTGACTGGCCTGCACAGAGCTCTGACCTGGAGCCCATCTAATCTTAACAATGACTGAGAGTCAAGCCTTATGGCCACAATCACTTCTTAACCTCATTATGGTCTCGAAACTGAATGTCTCAGTTGTTTTCCAGGTCCTTTCCATTCCACCACAGGTAATGTGTCGGGCCGCTATGAGACAGGCATCACTCCAGCTGGCTGGACCTTCTCTATCTGGGGTGTTATCTATACCTGGCTAACCCTGATGGTCATATACCTCACAACATACGTATTCCGAGGGTAAGCTAACTACAGAATAGTCACATTTACAGATTTACTGTCTGATAGGATTCATTGGTCAGAGCAACATGCTGCTGAAACTGCCATTTCTCTTCCTGTGAATAGATCCTGGGCTCAGTGTCTGCTGCCCTACAGCTTCTATTTTTGCTGGCTGTCCAACATGCTGATGAACATGATATGGCTGCTGCTGTGGGATAAAGAGTATGTCTGCTACTACTTCTATTTTTACTTCATGTATTTACACATAACTACTAAAAAACAGTAATGAAAACAAAAAAACAAATCTGAGTGTAATGTGGATTTGGGTTAGGTACACACATCAGGAGGAATAGAAACTCTTAAATGAACCATAATTAAACATTAACCCATGTCTGCATTGACAATGACAGAAAAAAAGTGGAAGAATTAAAGTATGAAAAGAGTCAATTGTATGTGTATGTATGATGAAAATTGACTTAGATTTCTTCCTGAAAAATAAAGGTATTGGTCTTGTAGTTTTCTGCATCCACCCAGTACTATGGAAGTGATTGGAATTTAATTTGTTAAGCTTGCAACATTACAGATTGGCATTTAAATACACATTTTAAAAATTAAACATTTACGAAAAATATTAATAATAATTAACCTCCAAATAGTGGAACTACTTTACACAGAAGAAATGGTTCCTATGAAAACCAGTGAAATTGTGTACTGTCTATTAGCCAGAATAACAGAGACGTTTTGAGAAGACACACTGCAGTTGAATTTCACTTGTACTGTAATTTGGTGAGCTCCACAAACAAACTTCCTTTCACTTCTATTGTATGAGGCAGAAATCTCAGTGATGGAGGTCTTAAAACATGGCCAAATGAAAAAACCTAACATCTACAGGAAGATGAGGGAAAATGTTTTAGTTATTTGGGGGAACTGCCTCTTTAAGAAAAAATTATATTAGTTCTTAAAGGTATACTATGCTGGAATTGTCAGTTACTGTTTGTACACACAACATCTAAACTTGGCCCCTCCTCCCTACATATTTGTATTCGGTACTGTGTTACTGTAGAAACTTAGCAATAGTTGTAATTGAAAAGATGATATTTTAGTAAGCTATTTAAGGTCCCTGCTGGCACCTACCTGTCAGAGGGGAAACAGGTCAACTCTGCATCGCTCTTCATCCCCATCCTCTCCTTTAGTGCTCGCCAGCAAAGTGAAAGTGAGAGCCAATCCCAAATTCTTGTTTAGGAATGTATAAAATAATGGAGCCACCGTGACATCACCCCTTGGTTTGTGAACTCCTGTTTTGAAGTCTGGAGTTCGGCGTTTGGCTGTCACCATCTTGGAATTTTGTAGCCAGAACTGACAACATTTAGATACCAGGGTGAAGATGACCCTAACGCTAGCTGTTAGCTTTGTTAGCGTGGTCCATTTATGGTTAACTGTGATAAAATTAATCTTAATTTTTACTAGCAAAAAACATTAAAGCAAAAGATACTTAGCGGAAAAACTGAACATCTGACTCCTTAGGGGCTCTTTTAGTACACCCAAATACTGAATTCTTTGTTAGATGGCCAAAACATAACAGTTGACTTTCATGAGCTGAAATGTTTTCAATGCCCAAAGAGCTAAACCAATGTTCTGTACGACATCTATTGCACGTCTGTCCGTCCTGGAAGAGGGATCCCTCCTCAGTTGCTCTTCCTGAGGTTTCTACCGTTTTTTTTCCCCGTTAAAGGGTTTTTTTTGGGGAGTTTTTTCTTATCTGCTGTGAGGGTCCAAAGGACAGAGGGATGTCGTATGCTGTAAAGCAAATTGTGATTTGTGATATTGGGCTTTATAAATAAAACTGACTGATTGATTGATTGAAAACACACTGAAATTTGCCACGGTTACCTTACCAAACCAACGTTGTCATAATGGTAGCGAGCTGTCATAGGACAACACCCAGCTGCCACCCCCTAAGTATATGTAAATGTAAGCCTTAATAACATCTAAATGGGCGAGTTATAAAAAAAAATATTTACCCCCTGTACAGTTGTCACATTTGGCTTTCCCCTGCCTTGCTTAACAGTGCTGCCTATGGCCATGTGTATATCTATCCTAAAACCACCCTAAACGTTTGTTTTCAAAGCCATGAAACTCATTGACTGGTCAGTGGTGTTCGTTGATGTTCTGACATAAAAATCGTAGCAAACTGTGGTTTCCATGATGATTTATTTGACATTTTGTCTAATCCATTGGTT